AAATGAAAGTGAGATACGTGGGAGTAACGTAATGCGGCAATCGATCGGACAGACGCGACATTTATGAAACATTCTGGATTGAACGTGTCATCATTTCACTATGTTTGCGAATGTTTCAGGCTTTCCCGCGTGTTCCAGCCGGGAACACTGGCCGGTATACAAGGTGAGTTGCGCACATGTTCATTCCTTTATTTTTGCTTTTGTATCTTATCGTTCAAATAAAACAATTACTCGCCTACGGGCCCCTTTCGACGGATATTTCAATTGTCCTCCAACACTCCTTTTATCGAACTCGCGAACGCGTTGCACTTGGAAAATGAATCTCAGTGACACTTGACAATTGACTGTAAAACGGCCTCGAAACGAAGAGACAGACACTTGGGTGTTGAGACGAGGAAAACAACGAAATACGACGAAATATATGCATAAATCCAAGAGATTAACTAGACCGAAATTATTTTTCTCGAATTTACAAACGGATTGCAACTGGAAGATATCTGATCTCAGTTACCCTTGGCAATCGATTATAAAAAGATCTCTCAACAAAGGAACAAGACAGATTGATTTCTTAACAAGGAGAAGGAGAGAGATGTTGAAAATGATAAGAAAAGAACGAACAACGAGAGGGAAAAGAATCGCGTCGTTTCGTCGTAAAGCGACTCGACTAGATTTCGTTCAGACTGGACGAGTTAATTCGTTTCTCACAGCCAACCACGAAACCTCGGAACTAAAAAAAAGTCGACAATAACGTTTCCTAGGTACGTACTTGTCGTAAACAGAGGATTGTGTACAACTGCGTCGCACTAAAACCCATAGCTACTAAACTGCGCATACTACCTATAAATGGGCAGGTTGCTATAAAGCCCATTCATGATCGCGTCTCGCCTGTACAACAAACGTCAGGTGGCTCGCGCCTCCCCCGCGATTTATCGCACTCCTGTTCGAGCAAGAGTCTCGTACTTCCAACTTTTCTACGCAAGCACGATGACGCACGACCTCGGTATCGATATATCGCGGAGAGTGATTCGACACAATTCAATTTGAAGTTACAAGTTGTTCAACCATTGAGCGCACGATCTTTTTTTTTTCTCGATTCGTAGATTAGCAATGCGGAATCTGACGAACTTCCCGACGTTATGCATTTTCATGTTTTCTCAGTGAGAGTTTTCTAGTCGAATAGCTTGGAAAGTGAAGGTTCCAGTAGATATCTAGATTAATGGAAGAAACAGGATAGAATCGTAATTTATTCGTTTAAAAATTCTGATCCATCATGTTTGCTGCAACCTCATCGTAAATTTTAAAGCCTTTCACGATATGGAGCTGTCTTCTTTTTGATGGTTACGACATCGTTTAAAAACGAATCCCTTATGAATAACAGAGTCAGTTGGAATTTAAAAGAGACATTTGTAGATTTCTCGCGAGTTAATCGTTTCACTATTCAGCCAATTACATAACCGATCGTTAACCATCGATTGGTGTTTCACAGTCAAGTTCAAGAAGTCACCAAGTTTACTGTTGTCAAGCATACTCTGTTCATAAATATTCAGAGAAAACTCCTAGTGTCAAGTTTGTTCTTCAATACATATCTGTCCTTTTAAAATTCGAATGTTTTCTATGGTGTGCTTATATTCACTGTTTTTTTTTTTTTGTCGTTGTTCTTTCCACCTTACCACGTAATGGCGAGATCTTTCTCTTTCCATAATTAAAAGAAATAAGTGAAGTACAAATTGTACATGTATAACTTAGGAGATATTCAAAGGGACTGATAAATATCCGTCTTAAATATTCTGTAAACTCTGTGGATTTTTATGTCTTTCAATTTTCTATCGATACATAAATTGTAATAACGTACATAAATTCCATCTAATGGAATAAAAATTTAGCTATTATCAAATATAGCGCTCCTGCTCATTCCATTTATCTAAACCGCGAAATCCTATTACATAAATCTCATAAATATTCAGTGTTTACTCCCCATGGATGGATTTAGAAAAATAGAGGACCGTATTCGAAATTTTACACTTAAGATTGATTCAGATAGACACTCATAAATATTCAGTGACTACTTCTCGATAAATTCAGAAAACTGGGGAACTGTATTCGAAATTTTTTTAATTACACAACTTACAATTCAGGCACCATAATCAGTTAATAGATTTGCTAACGTACATGCTTACTAGACGCTTAGATAATAATTTGTAATTTATTGGCTGATTAAGAGGTGTTGCGCGATCTAGTGAGGTGTCAGCTTGATGGACAGATGGAAGACGTATGTGCCACCGTTATTAGGAGTTGTTGTCAGACCGTTTTACTTCATTGCCCCATAAAAATACCGATATTTAGACTGCAGTACTACCATGACGTATCGTCGTCAGACGTACATTATTAGGGGTGTGCAAGTACCTGAAATTTCGGGTTCGAGTCGGGCTTACACAAAGTCGGGCGGGCTCGGGTGGGTAACCCGACGATTTAGGATAGCTCGAAGATTTCGGGTAGCCCGACGATTTCGGATCGGGTTGGAGAAAATTAAAGGGGGATAGGATCAGAGGTGGGCATTATTCAAATAACATTTTGTTCGAAATATTTACAGAAGTAATGTAAAAAAAAAAAGAGTCAGGAGTTCTTTTTTCACAATTTTGGTTTATTTAATAAATTTGTTTTTAGTACAATTTTTTGTTTGAACATTTTGTTAGTTAATCTGTTTGCTTTAGGCGAGTTTGTTATCGTTGCAAATGAAAACAAACGCTCTACTGGAGCAAAAGATGGCGAAGGACTGTTATATTTCAAAAATATATTTTTAATTATGGGATATGCGTTTAGAGATATGTAATCATTTCTATTATCTGTAAAAAATTCTAGTACAAGAATTTCTACGTTATCATTTGTTTGTAAAATGTTGGTCAGTTGAAGTAGATTCCGCTGTATTAAATATTAAAAGCAAAGCAAATTTATTAAATAAACCACAGTTGAAAAAAGAAGTATTCCTGACTCTTTTTCTTTACATTATTTCAGTAAATATTTTGAATAAAATTTTATTCGAATAATGCCCAACTGTGTGTTCGAATAATTTTTCTTCGCGCGAATAAAATCGTTATTCGTAAGTAACGAATAATTCTTTCTTGAATAAAATCGTTATTCGTTATATTTGCGAATAAATTTGACAGTATTTTATAAATTACTTAAAGAAAATTACTGGAAATATATATATATATATGGCTAAACGTTTGCGATATGTAGTTGAAGTTAAGGGCTACTCAATAAAATATTAATTATTGTTTATGTTAACAATTTTCAGGTTTAAATATTATAGTTCTTCGAATGTCCGAATATTTATGCCACACTATATTTCGACATAATTCAGTTTACTGTTTGATATTAAGTACAATAAATAAATAAACTTTATGTTACTATAAACTATAATGAATGTTCTAATATATTATTAAAAAATTAATCCAAACTTACTATTATAAACAATCGAAGTCCACAACAATATTTTGAATAGCATGATGTCCGAATATTAATAAGAATCATTGTATGTATTTCGCCGATAGTTTTAGTGCCAGAAATATAGACATTAGTTGGTGGAAATGCAATACAGCCAGATTCCCACTATTATCTTTAACCGCAAAAAAATTTCTTGCTCTACCTGCCACTCAAACTACGAGTGAAAGACTATTTTCCTTATGCGGAAATATAATAACACCAACTCGAGCGAAATTAATATCACAAAATGTTGAGCAATTATCTTTTTTACATTATCATTTAGTGTAAATATTATTACATTTGAAGAAAAAAATATATATATGTATATATGTATATTAAATATTATGAATAGTTGATTTCGATAATGCAATATCATCCCTATCATATCCCATTTGAACTTTTTCCAACTCGATCCGAAATAGACGGACTACCTGAAATCGTCGAGCTACCCGCCCGACCCGAATAATCAGATACCTGTAATTTCGGGTACCTGCGCACCCCTAACGTACATACACGCGGCGTGACAGCATGAGTGGCGAGATCGTAGTGGACGCAAGGCATCATCCGTTCCTCCTTTCGCGCGTGACGTCACGCTGGTAAAATAGCGGAGAACGGCCGAGAGGACTCGGTCATCCGTTCGCCGCGATTCTTTGAATCAGTTCACAACATCGGTTCGTATTTCTGTCAACGAAATTGCGACACGAGCGAAGAACATGGTCATTAGAACGATTGGATTCATGGTTGTCGTTTTACGTTCTGGCAGAATCCGTTGGAATTTGTTTTAGCGATATTTTCACAATTTTCTGCATTTTACTCCAAAAAGTATAAGATTTGAATCGGCATGGATTGAGCAGTTGCGTTTGGAGTGAGAATTAAGACGACAAATTCAGGTAACTCGAACGATTGTTCAAACAACACGATTCTAAACATACAATTTAACGACGATAACGGGTGGTCGTTACTTCGCGAGATAATGGATATCGTAAAAGGCGCAGTGTTCGATGACGGAACTTGACAAAAGTCGCGGTCACGAACGAACAGTGCGTGTCTCAGGAATCGAATAATCCAGACATTCTCAGTTTTCCAAATATGTATCCTTTCTATTTGAAAGAAAGGAAAAAAAAAACCAGATGGAAATAAATAATATTGGATCCCGGAAATTTATTTCGATTTCTGCCATTTCAATCCACACCCTATGAATTTCTCGACTCGTTCAACGCGCGAAAAGAGTAGAAGCGTGTGAGCGCCAAAGATCTCGATTTGATCCAGGAACACCTGCTGTTCGTCAATCAGACTACGAGCCTACGACCTACGAGTCAGACGGTTCAATCTGTTCTTTTCTTTTTAGCCAGAAACCGCGTTTTAAATCGAACGAGAGTTCTTTAGAAATTTGAGAGAGGCAGCAGGCTGATTCTAGCGCGATGCAGAGAAGGGAGAGAGACAGATTAGAGCACGATGGGCGAGGGTAGGAAAGGCGTACGGGGCTTGTAGCTTGGCAGAACGCAAAGTGGAAGGGGCAAGTTCGTTCAGGGGTTTGGTTATCAAACGGTCCGAGAGATCGCGCTTGAGTCGCGTTCAGCCCGTTTGTACGTCGAGCCGCGGGCAGAGCTCTCAGTTGTTCAGTTGAGCACAGTGAAGGCAGAAGAAAGCGAGTCTTTTCGTGTGTGTAAATAGCGTGCGTGTGTGCTTGAACGTTCTTCCACGGAGATTTGTAGGGCTCTATTATCCGAGGAACCTAAAGGTGCATATCATTTGATGACATTTAGACGAGTTCACTGCCCGACTTTTCGAGAGAAGATGAAAAAAAGAGCGATGATCTACTACTGATTGCGGCGATTCTCGACGCGAGTTTGTCTACAACGATTCGTTCGATTCGTGGATCGCGCGCGCCTCTTGGACGGATAAAAAAAAAAAAGAAAGAAAACGAATCGAAATCGAAGGATATTTAAGGAGGCTGAAAGACAGATAAAGAATTAAGGAGAGTAAGTGACGGGTGGAGAAGAAAGTGCGCGTTCGAGTGAACGTCGCGTGTGTATTCGAAGAAAGTAATGAGCAAGGTGACAGTTGCCTTTGAGGAAGGAGGCGGGACGACATGCAGCTGAAGCATGATCTGGACGACGATAGCAAGATCGGTCGAATAGTGAGAGAAACGTGCTCGTACCGTACGGTCGATGCGACGTGCTGCTCGGTACAGTCGCCCAGAAGATCACGATTGCCAAGTGTCCTGATCGCGATATGTTTCAGCCGCGTACCGCTCGTTAATCGTTTCGAGCATCCATCATCGCCGACGACGTTCGACGAACGCGTAGTTGCGTCCAACGCGCGAAACGAGAAATCAGTCATCGACTGATCTCGAGGAGAAGAAACCAGAAAGTGCAATATCTTAAAAATTGCAATTCCATATCGTTGCACGTTGTTAAAAAAAAAAAAAGAAAAAAAAACAATCTAGAAGCGACCGATCGGTTATAAATGTTTTCAAACAATCATTTCTAAAGGAGTGCTGTGTCATTTTTTTTGTTTCCGTTTGTTCCAACGTCGCGCGCCGTGCAACATCATTGGACCTGATCATCGTCACCGTCATTATTGTCCGATCACTGGATCGTTCGGACATTTGGGACTCGGCTCGCTCACTGACGACGTTTCCCCGCACGTGGCCCGTGCTGCTTACCACTCGTCAACTTTCGTCGACGTCTTGGACGCGTTGTCGCGGTGGCGGTGGTGGTGGTGGTGGTGGTGGTGATGGTGCATGGACCTTTTCTCGACGGATTTATTACGCATTTTATCGCGCCCCTGGGCGTCTTCATCTCCCTCTCTGTCTATCTCCGAGCTCGCTGCGTCCGCTCGTTCACCCGTTTCTCTCGCTCTATCTCGCATTCGCGCTCTTCGTCCTTCCTTCCCTCTGTTTCTCTTCTGCTGGACCGCCGTGTACCATCTCCCTCCATCTCACGCTTATCTACCCCTCCACCTGTCTGCCTCGCCGCTGCACACCCTCTCTTCCCTCCGTCAACCCTGCCCTCACGATCGCGTACACCCGTACAATTTTCCCTACCCCCACCTTCCGTGTGCCTCCTCTGTATCTTCACACGCGTTTTCTTTATTTATTCCGCGATTTCACGGAGCAACGCAACGCTCCGCACACGATGAACAACGCGGACCTTCCGTTACGTTTTTAAAATCGCCGTCTCGCGTGCCAACTTTCGCGCACGGTACCCACCGCGGTATTTCCATCGCATTTCGCGTTCTGACCATTGGTCGTCTGTACGTTCTCGATCTTCGTCGGCTACGCTCGACGAGACCGTCTCGTAAAATCGACGCGAATAACTACCACGTCGCGACTTCTCTTTCGTTCTCCCACCCTCCTTCCTTCTTCTCATCGTTCACCTCCTACCACTTCTCTTTCTCCTTCTTTGCCTCTTGCTTCTCCTTCGTTCTGTACCGATTCCTCTTCCATCGAGTATTCTGTCTTATTCTGTCGGACTACTAACGTTTACTCGAAACGTTATATCGGCTCGTTCCTGTTCATCCTTGAAACGTACATACGTGCGCGTCGTAAACGCAACCGCGCGAAACGACCATGCGATTCCGGTCCTCGGTCGACTGCTGAAAAATCGATCGTATATTCCCGCGCTTGGTCCACCGCTGCCACCACTGGTTTCCCTTGTTGTGGGCATCGTCGTTATAACACCGGCAATTACCTGCCACCATCTGCACCATCGCCGATCACGTGGCTTGTTCGACGGCGACCCTTTACGACAATGTTCACGCCGCGCCGCTGTGCGGCTCCGGCGTGGGCCACCCTGGTTCCGTCACGCCGATGGGGTCAGCTACCGGAGCGGGGAATTCCACCGGGGTGACTTGGTGGGCCATGATGAACGGTTCTCTCTACGAGGACAGTCCACCACCGATCGCGCCATCCGCTTCCAGCCTCATCTCGCTCCAGCAACAACAACAAGCAACTTCGACACCAGCTTCTCACCAGCAAGCCACAACACCGACCTCACCGACTGCACCGACCGCTTCTTCGGCAGCGAGTGCGCCTTCCGCGCCTACAGCCAGTGCCAGCTCGACCTCGCCGAGCGCTTCCTCGGTAGCGAGCAACAGCGCGCCAGGCCCACTCCACATACCGGCCAAAAGGTTGACCGCCACGCCAGCCGCTTCTTCCTACGGCGAGGTCGGCTGTGTCGAGTCAACAGCCGCACCCGCCACTGGACCAGCGGGCGTCATTCGTCATTCCCACTCGTCATCGGCCGGCTCCCAAGGAGGCTGGAGTTACAGTCCTCATCATCCCCAAGACTCTCACTACTCATCCGCTGCGACTGACACCCTTAATCATCATCAAACATACGGGGGCAATAATCCCCCAACCTATTACAATCTGGCGGCAGATCCTACCTCCACTTCCGGCTCCTCCAGGGATAACCGGAAAGCTGGTACGCTCAGTTTTTGGTCACCGGCCGCTGCGACAACGGGCGTCGCTGCAACAGCTGGCTCCAGTTCTGACTACAAATCCTACAACTCGGCCGGTGTTGCGACTACCAGCTCCTCGACCGGAGCTGGATCCTCCTCCGTAGTCACAGGTGCCGCCGATCCGGCCGTTTCTTCCTGTCATCAAAGCTTCTCGCAGAGTTGGTGCAACTATGCGCCATACACCACGGCCAGGCATCATCACCCGGTGGACACGGCTGGCCATCATCATCCTCACTCGCAAGCCGGAGTTCCATACTTGACACCGTCCGCAGCGGACGACCGAGGAAGGGTCACCGCTGCTATGGTAGCCGCCGAAGGGGCTTTTCCTCACGATGGATACGGTGGCCTTCGGAATTACGGGGCGCCCGAGCCTGTCACCTCAAGTCCGTATCCACCTCCAGGTAAGCATCGACTCCGTCTTCCTCTTTGTCTTTCATTCACCTTGTTCCTTTTCAGTTAGGGTATGCCAACGAGGTAACGTACGTACATACATACATACGCGCCCTATGCGCACGCGAGAGCTTTTACTTTCCACGAACGTTTGCTCGCGAATCGCGTCAATTTGCTCGCTCGTAAATGCAAGGTCATTCATGCTGTTGTGTACGTGCACCGGCGAGTCCGCGGGGAAACGAAACGAGTCTGAAAACGACTCGTCGAAAGTCGCAAGAGATCGTGCTCCGAATCTCTCCTAGCTCTTTCGGCCTTGAAACGAATCAACGACAACAACGGGCGAGCGAGAAAGAGAGAATCGGGGAGAGAGAGAGAGAGACAGAGAGAGAAAGAGAGAGAGAGAGAGAGATATTGGAAATTTAAATGATCGAAATCCGCGAGGATCCTGACCTGTCGCACTAGCGACCTGCTCGCCGTTCCATTCACGTGTTTGGTCATTCTCTTTCGTCCCCACTTGGTGTCGTTCTATTCTATTCTTGAGACCCGGGAACCCATGAAACGTCGCACGAGCAACAACGAACCGCGGCAGGTTTATTGGCGGCCGTAACTCGTCGTAAACTCTGGCGTTTGCCTCCGATCAGCTGATCCGTTCCATGACCTGTGCACAGCCGTCTTCGTTCTTCTCTTACTAACGACAGTTCTCGCTTTCCCTCTTGCGAACACTGTCGCCGAGGCTCTCCTTCACGCCTCTGTTTGCTTCTTTCGTTCCAGCCTTTAACCCACTTCGACTTACTTTTTTACCTCTGCAGATTCCTGTTCGTTCGGTTAGTTGCATAATCGATGGCAAACTGCGTCGATGCTGGACGCGTGTGCGAAACGTACGACAAATGATACAGTCAGGGACACGGCCCGGAAGAATCTGGAGGAGGCTGAAGAAAGGTCAGCGAAACAACAAAAAGCTCGAAACGGCTGGCCGAGAGATTCTAATCGGCTGGTGATACGAGTATATCGTGGAGGAAAAAGAGAACACGCGTCCCTTTCCGAAATCGTAAAGAATAGGAAAATACGAGACACGATGGCTGCTCATACGGGCACGCTCGGCCCGATAAACGAGATAACGTTCGCGTGATCCTCTCGGCCTCGGAGTTAATCGTATGCGTGGTAGGGAGTTACACGCGCAGGCGTACGATCCATACAAAGTAGTAGAACGAACGCTGCGTATAGTTTAACCGTGCCCCAATAGATGGCAGCTCCATTATCTTTGTTCGTCTGGCTGGTATTCCGAGACCGCCGGTGTCTTCGACGTGTTACTTCCCGAATGCCTTCTCTGCTCGCGCAGGCCTGCGCGATTTTTCGAAAGCAAGTTGTACGCGCCGGCCGGCGACAGCTGCCTACCGTCGTCGTTTGCCATTCCCCGATCCGATCAGATAACAGCTTCCTGGTTGAAAAATGTCACCTCCTGGAAAGAAAAACCGGTTGCAAATTAGCTGCCACTTTGCGAGCTTAAATGACGTTCAATGTTGGGTGATATAATTTAACGCGCCATTTTCGACCCCTCTCGTCTCTAATTAACGCTGTCGTAGATTACGATTCATTATCGCACGAGCCATCGCCGAGCAATCGTATAAATTCAATCCTCGATATTTTATTTCGCGGTGAGTTTTTCTCGTCGTAATTTTCGAAATTTCGTAAGTTCTTTCTCTTGGAAAAGTCGACGCTCCGTGATTTTGCGTTAAATTGTTCCGACAAAATTGATTACGAGCGACAGTTGTATCTGAACGATCAAGGAGGGAGGCATTCGTCGCGTTGATATCGGTAGATCGTGGACAGTGGTCGTTTCGAGGGTTGATGTGATAACCCTCGGCACGCCTCGTTGCTGACTGCACGCCTGTCGCAAATCGATACGTCATTTGCGCCGCAGTTTCGCGTGCTCGCGCCTCGTCCCTCCCGTACGTTCACATTCGCTAGACATTCTGACCTTCGTTAAAAACCATTTGCATGTTTCAACGCGTTTAGCGAGCAATACATTTTCGCCGATTGAAAAATCGTGTCGCGATACTCCGTGAAACAAGAGGAAACGGGACGGAAGGAAACGTTGAGAAAACACTAGTAACCAGGGAGTAAGAGAAAGTAAGAGTAAGGACGTGAGCGTGGGTTAGAGCGGAGAGAGGCATAAGACCAGAAGGGAGAGTATTACGCGATTTAATAAAGAAGGAAGAAAAATTGAAGCTTGACTGCCGAATCCCCCGTACGAAAAGAGAGTGTTTGTTACATTTTTTCTCATTCTCATAAACTCTGATCAAAAGGTTTAGACATTCGTGAAGTATGGTCTAAGAAAAAAGCTTCCTTAAAAAAAAAAAAAATGAAAACGGTAATAAAAAGCTGGACTTTAAACTCGACCAACGTTATAATTTATTATCGTGTCTCGACAAACGGGCTATTTCGCAATTGTAAATAAACCTGTCTATTTTCGGTTCTTTACTTCTGTAAAATACCGCGTTCGAACGTGTTCGTTAACGAATAACGAAGCTAGAGGACATAGGAACGTTTTGCAGCACGGCGAATAACGTCGATAAGGTATCTGTAACAAAAGGACAGCAGGTGGGAAAATGAAATTCCAAGCATGTAAATGCGAGTGTGTAATGTTACTAGACAGACGAGGTTGTTGCATTCGTAGCTTTGCAACTAATCCTCACCGTGGTTTGTCCGTACTTAGGTTAAAGATAGACGGAAAGGCTATTCGCTTTCGTAATCCCTTCGTTTCATATGCTACGTTCGAGTATTGCCTTGACTACTTCCAAAAATATGATGTTTATCGCGCATATCTAGTTTAAAGAAATGTAGTTTCTTTCTGTAGTCTTTTTTTGTTATTCAAGAATAGAAAATGAGAGGATATTTTTATTTGAACAAATGCTTTTGTAATGCAGATGATATTTAATCTATCGTTTTATCGTTAATTACGTGGAAATAAATAAATTGTCAAATAAAATTATTTTTTGCATTCGAGAAGAAGACGGTATGTCTGGCCAAACTTTCATAAATCTTGTTATCGCACGAGGTAAAGAAAGGAAATAAAATTTTACCTTTCGTTTGAAATTTAAATCTGTTTTTCAGTTTTTTTTTTTTTTTAAATTGTTAAACATCCTTACAGATGAAAAAATCTACGATTGTGGGATTCGGTGTACGGCCTCGAACCACCAGCTACAACGAGGAATGTAGCACTTACTAACAGTTCCGCGTTTCACGTCCCCGTTTCATGTTTTCCACACGGTTAGTATGCTCGGTCCAATTATATCATATCGGCTCGTCGTGACGAACCCTTTGTATACGTGCTCCACGTACCTACCTACACGGTTTCTTATTCCAAGTGCAAGCTCTAGCACCAGGGAACGCTTTTGGGTGTGAATTTCAAGACCTTTTTATCAGAGAAATTCCAAATAGGGAAACTATTTTAGTCGCTATTTTTCGGATAAGCCCACATTTGAGTTCTAAATCATAATCCTTTTTGTTTTAGTTTTGTCACTTTCGAAATTGAACTTTCACATCCAGGAACCTGTCTGGCACTCATTACCTGATAATAATTTAATATGTGTACAAAATCAAATATCGATTCAGCTGTATCAAATTCCTCTCTCAATCGGAGCACGATCTTGAAATATAAATAAAATAATTTTAAATTGTTAATTATTTCTGATTGCATGCATGAATGTCGATCAATCATCGTTAGCTACGATACTGATCGATGATTATCACGAATAATTACGATAATTACAACGAATTGGATGAGAGGACAGTATTGCAGTATCGATCGGTCAGCTTCGGCCTAGTGTCAATAGAGATTTCATTCGGTACTATGTAGTTACGCATCGATATGTCAACTAACGAGTCGATGTATTTGCTCTCGTTTCTGTCGGCCTGTGCGGACCTAATAACTTTGTCGGTCGCTAGGAAAAAAAAAAGGGGGAAAAAAAAACAAGTATACTCGGATGTTCTTATTCGAGATTCATTGGAACGAGAAATCGAGAACTTGCATCCGCTTGCATCGAACGGTCAATTGAAACTGAATAGTCGAATCAATTGAAGCATGCTTCAATATACTTTCAATAAGCACGATTTCAATATCGAGGCAAATTTAATCATTAGCTAATATTTCTAGCTAGCAGCTAGGTTGTTTGTGACCGGCAAACTAATTGTGTCAAGTGATGTGGGGTTCCTCCCCATCTTCCTTGTTTCCCGCAGGTTCCCTGGCGGGAGTCGGCGTCGGTGTCGGGGTGGCTGGAATGGGCGTCAGTTGTGGAAGCTCGAACCCTCTGGAGTGGACCGGGCAAGTGACAGTACGGAAGAAACGCAAACCGTACTCCAAGTTCCAAACGCTCGAACTTGAGAAAGAGTTCCTGTTCAACGCGTACGTGTCGAAGCAGAAACGATGGGAGCTCGCGCGCAACTTGAACCTGACCGAGCGGCAGGTGAAGATATGGTTTCAAAACCGAAGGATGAAGAACAAGAAGAATAGTCAGCGGCAGCAACAAAATAACAATAATAACAATAGCAGCGCCAACAATGCGAATCATCACGCGGCTACCGGCAGTCATCATCATCCGAGCGCCGCACACGCGCCACCCTCGAGTCACCACGTGGTCGCGCAGGCGCACCACGCAAACGGTTCTGCGAAGCATCATCAGTGACCCGTGGCCTTCTCTGGGGTCGTCTTCGGCCATCATAATAATAATAATCACAGCTCGACGAACGGTTGCACCGGAAACGGTGCTGGTACTGGTGCTGGGACCGGAACCGGGACTGGAAACGGTATCGGCCATTCCGGTAGCCACGTGAACATTGTTACAGGTCACAGCCACACGCTTCACGCGCCTCAACCTCAAACGCCTCTGCCGACCCATGCCGCCGGTGTTTCCAACACCGTCACGCCCCCCACCGCAGTCGTTCATCCGCATATTCACGCACACGCTCATCATCAGTTGGCGCACGTGGCTCAACAGTATCCCGCGCTTCTTCATCAGACAACACCCCACGGCCTGGCTGCCTGAACGTGAAATTCTTCAGGTTTCGACGCCCCAGAGAAATCGTTGATGAGTCGTGCTTATTGCAGACACGGACCCTTGGCTCGAGAACATCGGATAGACAAATATGTAACCGCATACTTATTAAACTTCGTTCAGCAGCTGTTTAAAGACTGCCTACCATTTCTAAGAAGAGATATTCTTTCGCGGTATAATTATTATTATTATATTATTTTATTATTATTATTATTATTATTATTATTATTATTATTATTATTATTATTATTATTATTATTATTAATATTATTGTTCTCAGTTATTATCATATTTATCCTACGAATGCAGTGGTCCGACGAATGGAACATTGTTGTATAAAAGAAAGTCCTTGAGACGTCTGAACCACCAGACTCTTTTTCGATCGTCGTGTTGATATATCAGGTGTTGGTCTTCTTCGAGTTAGTGCGCATTATATCATATGCGGCACCAAGCAATCTGTCCAATTCGTAATTCGGTGGTATTTCCTCCAATTATTCATATTATATATATAGTGAAGCAAATTAGTGTCACTTAGTGTCTGTCCTTCCCCGTTTCAACAATCCATTATTCCCACCTGGACGAATACCTTCTACGCTCCTTACTTCCCTATTCCTCCCCTTTGAACATCGGTCTGTACCACTTGCTCGTAACTTTCGATCGTAACTTACGTTTGCTTTGTCTCCTGCGCTGTTTAGCTCGAGCGATCGATCAACGATTGCGCGGGAACGGTTCAGGAAACAACGACATTGGATCCTATGGCTACGATGACGCGATTCGACGATCAATTCGACCGTAATTGAAAAAAAGTAATCACTTCCTAGAGGTAAGTGTATCGGAAGGTGTGCTGCAACGAGAAAAGAATGCGATTTAAAAAAAAAAAAAGAAAAAAAGAGTATACAAAAGGAGCTTTCGGCGTTGTTGAGAAATTGAAATATTTCACTTTTGTTAGAAATTTTACGTTTATTTGTTCAATACGTGAAACGTTGATAATCTACTGTCTGTGATCTCGCGGGAAGAACTACGACGATTTCATCGATGCTCGCTAATCGTCGAGTTCTGCATTCGATATCTAATTACGCGATCGTCGTGTATTGGTTTAATTCCTTGGTGCATTTTTTTCATCGTTCCATAGGATCCATTGAACAAGATTTCAACTGAACAGTGAGAGCGTAGGCCGATTTACTATTCCGATGAAGATTAGCGAATTCGTTCGATCATTGACGACCTGCAACAAGATGAAACGATTTAGGTTTAAGCTCAAGACCTTTGTAGATAACTCCTATATTTTTTGTTTGACGTTTCGTCCCGAGGCAGGTCGACTGTAAAAATCGGAAAGATCATAATGAAAAATCGGGACTAGGCCTGTTCGTAAATTTTTCGGTGCAATAACTTGTGAGAACAACAGCTTTCCCGCGAACAATTACATCGAGGATATATTTGAGACGGACCTAGCCCAAAGCAACCAAGATTTAGTCTAATTGTTATATTCATCGCCTACCAAGGATTTACGAACTCTAGTACCTATAACTCGTATATTATATGTAAAAAAAAAAAGTCGACTTAGATTTAAAAGCATACCTAATGGACTGCGGAGTGATCAGGAGCACTATTCCGAGACTGAGTTTAGGATCTTCGTCGTGGAATTATAGACATGCTGTAAACTGAGTTAACTATTTCTCCGATGATCGAGAAAAAATGTCGTAATGCTCGGTCGATGGTTAATTTTTGTTTTCCTTAATTGAAAGGTTTACATCGAGATAAAATGAATTTGGTTGTTAGAAATTTCGATATTATTTATTTGTTGAATGCGAAATTACTGTTTTGTTTGGAAAAATTCCAGAGTTTTCATAAATAAATAAATAAATATATATATATATTTATAAGAATATATACATATGCACAATATCTATCAAGAATAAATTAATCAAAAACTTTTCTCATCGAGTACACAAAATATTCGTCCTTGCATATCTAACTATCGTCGACAACGAACTCTAATTATCTAAGATTGTGGACTAACTGAACGTTCGAGAAATTTACGAGACTGAAGGAAATTTAATTGGAACAAAGTATCGATGCGTCAGGTGCTGAAATTAGTCTTTCCAGAGTCGAGGACGGATGTTATCTTGGCCAGCGGAATCGGGAGGAAGAAAAAAAAAAAAAGAAAAAAATATCGAATTGAATCGAACGAAGTCCTAAACGCAGTCTTTAATTGTAAGAACGAAGAAGACGAAGGGTTTACTTTTTAATTCATACGCTAGCGACTAAGTAGATAATTTAATCGAACGTCCCGGCGGATAAACACAAAATAAATATCCCAGTGGATGTTTGATCCCTTTAAGGTGCAACATTATTTAAATTATAAGGCTCGCTGAACGAGTATGCATGCCTATGGTATATTATATATACAATATACGCGTATTTCCCGAATGTTTCGCGCGAGTGATGACGAAACGTAAGTGCGGAGTATACATCCGAAGGAAATCGATAAGGAGAAAGTGGGTCCGATGAGAATCGGAATTTCTGAAAAGTGTGTGTGTAAGTGCGCGCGCGTATGCCCACGAGCGTGTCAGAGACGGAGTGTATGAGCGCGGAGTGTATGACTGTAAGAGGAAGGAAGAGTGTACGAGTGTAAGAGGAAAGAACAAGGGAGAGGAGCAGAGCCATAGAGATTGAGAGAGGAGGCGAGCAAGATGATGCAGAGAGAGTGGGAAATACAGAGAAATGAGAAACGATGTTATAGATAATGATAAATAGAAACGTGGCGTAACGTGGGAGGAAGCAAGGACTATATATGTATTGTAATAACGAAAAAAAAAAAAAAAGAAATAAACGAAACGTACACACTTACGAGCACACATCCACACACGGAAATACACGTGAAACACACGCGTCATAAGGATTGGATAAATGATATTGTAGATTCCGCCGCGTTTATTATTAATACGTTAATTATGTAATGACGAATAAAATATTAGATACACGAGTATAAGGTAAGACGCAGATAAAGATACGATTTGAGAGAGCGAGCCAAGCGGAAATCGTAGAAAAGAAAGAAGAGAGAAAAAGGAAATGAGAAAGAGAAACAGGAAAATTTCGCAAGGTTCGACGTCGAAGTCAAGATTTGGGGTCAGCGCAACATTCAAATTTCAATGTGAATTGTCGATTGTGATTAGTTGCTAACTTTCTTGTTGCTGGCGAACTTTAACGTGATTATTAAGATAATAATAATTATTATTATTTCATTATTATTATATTATTATATTAATTATTATTATTGTGAGCGTCATGTTATTATTATATTATTGTTTTTATTGTGTGTTGTTTCAGTTTATTACGATCACAATATTATTATTACAAGATGATAACGAAACAATGGTCCTACAGGTCCTACAGGTATACATGTACATGAAATCACACAGCTCAAGTATACAGAGATGCCCGGTGAATTTTTACTCGAATAATGCTACTATAAATAAGCTATCTCGATCAATAGAACAAATGATATTTTGATCTTTCGACTACGTCGCGGAGAAATTTATATTAAATTTTATATTTATTTCGAAAGCTTTAAAGCGCGTTCAAACGAGAATCGAAGAGCTTTCCATCGAATTCGATCCGAACAAATACCTTTCTCGAAAATGATTAAACAATAATGTTTCGATCGAGATAATTTAAGTTCTCGAGTGAACGTATGCATGAGAGAGGACAAGAGAATGTTATATATTTCGGGAACGCAAATTAATTTTTGTTTTATATTCGAGTTACTAAGTGAAAAGAAATGAAAAGAAGAGAAAAATTATTTTTGTGTTATTACGTTTTTTTTTTTTTTTTTTTTTTTTTTTTTTTTTATTTTTTTTTTGTTTTTTTTTTTTTTTTTAAATGTACATAAGTTTACTTTATG